CTAAGCAGCTGATCTCGATGACTGAGATCAAATAAATAAATAAACAAATAAATGCATTTCACTTACCAAAAAAGAAGCAAATTCTGTACCACAAACTAGATTTTCACCAGACTGCTGACAAAGCAGAAGTTGTGTAGCGGCTTAAGGCTGTGTTCTTTCCAGCCTTTGTAACTGTCAAGTGTTCAGATATATACAAAGTAATGTGAGCAGTCAACTGCTTGCACACAGTTCATGAGACCTTCCCTTCTGTGATCTGAAACTATAATTTTCTGAAAATTACTTCCTCAGTTACACTTTTAATTATTTTCGTCTAAAACCTGTTCTGGTTACTGTTATAAAAAAGACAAGTACCAGTGACTGCTCCACAGAATTCAAAATAGAGCAGGTTAGATGCATCACCCTCATGATAAATGAAGACTTAACACTCAGTATAAAATTTATCTTCCAATAACTTTATGAGAACACGACAATCTAGATAATGTTACTGGCAAAAAATGTTTTAAACTATTACAGATTTGCTCTGTTCAAGTTTAGAGTAACAACTGGGGTTTTGCTATATCCCATCTTCTCAAGACAATTACAGCAACTTGTTCTCAGGAGACCACAAGTGAAAAGAAAGGGTGAAGTACAAAGATGATGGTAGTCAGTCAATTACAATATAGGAGGTAGAAACAAAATTCTAGAGGTACAAATTTCTAGAGGTAGAAATAAATTTCCAAGGAAAAAGGAAATAATTGATTTTGAGGTTTTTTTGTGCGAAGACAGATTTTGGACAGATGAGGCTATGGCTGCCCCATTTAATGGCATTCAGCCTCCATCCTGCAAAAGGATATAAATACAACCAAGGAAAACAAGCGTTGAAGTTTTACTTTCCTTTCTACACCTAGGGAAAAACAGCCATGAGCAGTTCTCTTGCTACCTTTCATCTACTTTGCTCACTCTCACTACTGAGCCAGACTTTCTCAGTCACCTGTTGGTTCTTCATTCTGTTGGAAACTGAGACGGTCTGATTGCCAGTTAGGTATGGGAACCTCTGTCCAGAAAAGAAAGGGAAAATACTGCAGAAAGGTACTGAAGGACTGACTGCGTGCTTGCAAAGTGGGCAGTCTGTTAGCTACAACAGAAACTAAAGCTAGTCTCTGGACTATGCCCAGCATGTATGCAGCAGCCTATACCTGTGATATGAACATATCTGCAAAGAGGAAACGTGTAAGAATAGCACCAGATAAGCTTCAAGCTAAGGATAACATTAGGTCATGTTGTAAGTCATCACAGAAATCCTAACGATTCAAACAACCCAATCTGCTTCCAGATTTTTCCAGAGGAGGGAAAGAACATCCTAGTGCTTTTGCCAGATGAAGTAGCACGTGGCACAGTAACAGAGCACAGATACAGAGACATAGCATATCCATATCCAGAGCTTCTGTGGAATTCACAGTTTCACAGCCGTGCCATCAGTTTTGTAGACATAGTTACTGCAAATTCAACCAGAATAACATTTGTCAAGAGTGCTTTTTTTGAAAGACACCACAGAGTAAAAACCAAAGAAAAAGCCTAGAAGTACTTACCAGTTGTGCCCAGTATGAGTTCCCCATCTCCTTTTGCAAGATATTCTAAACCTAAAATAGGGCTATTTTCTACCTAAGTAAGGTTAAAATTCACTCTGCAATTCTAGAAATACGCAGTACTTCTCACTGCCTTTCCCAAAAGGTTGCAGAAGTCACACAATGGAACATCCGCTCCAGAGATGGCTACATTTCAATGGTGGATTTAGTGGTCCAGAACCATCCTTACCTCACTCATAGGGTATGGTGTTTATAAAGTCATACAATGATGAGACATACTAAGTATCTTTATGAACTCTAGTGTAGTCACGCTGGGTAGATACACTATGTGACACAGAACTTGAAAACTCTGCAGTTACAAATTACTGTCTTTGTCCTACTGTTCTACTGCAATGTACTTCTATTTGCATTTTAATATTCTTGCACATACCTTCAGGCCAGTAATCCTATTATCTTAACTATGTCTATTGTCATGTAATTCTACAGTGCTTTGAAAAACATAAGTAATAATGAGAACTAACCCGAAACAATGTACACTAATGCCTTATCATCCTCCCTCTAAATTACAGTAGAGAGTTGGATTCCGCAGTACTGAGGACACTTAGCTGAGAAGTTTCTTAGACTATTTTTTGTTTGGAGATCCATTGCAGCTTAAAGATTTGGGGAACAACAAATCTATATTTAAACAAGCGTGCCTGAAGCTTTCTAACAGGTCAGACAATTTGGCAAAAAAAGCAGCAAGTGCATGTACAGCCATGAGCACCCACACTTCTCTTGGTAACAATTTCCACTAAGGAAGTGATGAACTTCAAGACAAAAGACAAAAACCAAAATACATTCCTTCTATGTAGCAATTCTTCAGCTAAAACAGTTCTTTAGCTAAAAGAAGATACAAGTTAGAATTATTAGAATGTAGAGAATGCCTTGGACTAACACCTTCTTAGCTTTAATCACAAGTAATTGCCTCTTCTCATACTAATAAGCAAGGCAAAATGAAAAGTAATTTAGACAATTCATTCAGGGTAATAGCTTTGTGAGCTAGTATTACTGCTGAGAGGTTCGCTCTCAATTTACTCGAGTACAGTAACAGAGCAGCAGTAATTTTTTCACTTCAGGGAGCTTTTCTACCCTATGTAAATATAAACAGAAATCCCATTATCTGTTGTTAAAGACAACAAAGCAAGTTAAATAAAGTTTCATATGTTATGATTTCTTACAAGGGAAATCAGCTCCCTGGATCACAAGTGTAAATAAAACACTTCACTTACTGAAATCAATGAGAAACCTTCCAAATCCTTGCCTTTGGTATTGGGGCATGATCATTATGCAGGAGACATTGTACTTCTGCTGGCAAAGCTTTTCCTGTGGAAAGGAGAAACAGATCAAGTATGTCAAAGCACTACTGAAGTGGACAATTGCCTGCACCTGCCACTGTCCCTGTAAAATATCTGAATAAGGTGAACAGATGCATGGGGTCAGTAATAAAGTCAAATAAATCCACTCTAATATTTAATTATAAGAAGGAAGTATGAAACATGCCCTTCAAAATATTTTTTATTAGTTAACTACTCAGCATCTTAAAAATTAAATACATTATCTAAACAGCATAAGGAAGTTTAAATGCTGTAAAGGAGGAGGACAGGAGATAGAGGGAGATATTTTCATGCTTCATTGGCCATTCTGTCAAGGATGCAAAAGTGGAAAATAATATCCAAACATATGGCAAAATTGTATTTTGTGCAGTTGTTACACTAAGTGCCTGCTGTTTCCACCTTTATTTTGTCTTCTCTCTGAATGAATGAATATGGGGTTGGGGTGGAGGGGAGGAATCCTATACCCACTGAACTAAGAAGTCTTACTTGAAGCATACCAACTTCTTCAAAGCTGAATGCTTCTCACCTGAATCCAAATTAAGGCAGAATGCTGAGAAGCCACAGCCCTTTCAAACAGGATGAAGTCATATAACATAGAGGCAACAGAGGCAAATATTACACAGATTGTTTAGGACAACAGAAGGAAGAATCTAAACTAGGAAGCTGTTCTAACAATGTAAGGTTACATGTTCTTTCAGATTTATTGACAAAAAGGAAGAGCCTTGAAGCCTTTCTACCTTCAAAAGATTACACACAAAAAACCCACACAAAAATCAGCACTAGGTAGTTTTGAAGTAACCAAACAAATCAACCAAAAATATCCAGGTCAGCATAACTGACAAGAAGTTGTGGCAAGCACATGGATAGTTTAAGACACCACCTATCACTTCAGCCTCCACACATAAGATGACACCAGATCAGTGATGACACTGACAGGATCAATGCCAGTATGTTAGTTTCCAAATATTTCTTCAGCTGTGAGAGCAGACACCCATGCCATATTGTGGAAGTTTTCTTAGTTTCTATGGTATGGTGAAGTATTTTCTCTGCACAGGCTTCCCAAACTCTCAAGACTGCTGCTACTACAAAGTTCACATCCTGGCAATGTATTTGTAATCAGGGAGAAGTCAGAGCATTTCTGCCAGCAAGAGCAGACACACACATGCACATTATAAAAAAAACAGGGGGGGAGGGAGATGGGGAGGACAACACACATGCAATTCGGTAAACAATTTCAGTACTTCACTAGAATTTGAGATGAAGTTTTTTTCCCCGAAGTTTTGGTAGCTAAAACATTTGTGACCATCAGATGTGACAAACAGACTGGCCAAAAGCAACAGAAGTGAAGCGGTGGAAGGAAGGCACAAACTTCAAGAGAGACTCATCTTAATACCTGCAGGACCTTAAATAAATCCACTAGAAAATACTTGCCCATATCAGAGTTGACAGGTTTGCATGCCACACGAACTTCTGACTGACCTATGAGATAGTACAAATTGTGCCCACACATCTCAGTTACTTTAATCCCAGCAAGGCCCACAACTCAAAACGAACTGGTCAGATCCCCAGGATCTATTATAATACGCAGCTACTTTGACATGATTTTTAGACTTCTTTAAAATAATATCTTTACACAAATTGCTTCTTCAAGAAATGAAATTATATACCGAGAGAGGTGGTAATATTAGGGACAAGAAGTACTGAATTTCTGAGTAACTATAACAATTAATCACATTTCTTATGGACAAGTTGACTAATGGAATTTTTCCTATTGCAGACCCATCTAATTATATTTCACTACTATTTTTGGTCATCTTTTGTCAAGACAGTCCACATAAGTATTTTTTTTTTTCTATAGCAGCCATCTATTGCTTTAAAGTTCAAAGCAAAAGCACAACCAATATACGCATCCACTCTAAAGAAGTCATCCACCTCGAAGTTAGGCATTGCACTCTTACACTCAGTGCAATGAGTAACTGCATTAGATCAGACTCTACACAAGAGATGAACACAGCTGGCCATTTTTGTCTAAATAGCCAGCTTGAACTGCTAGCAGGAGAACCGTGAAAGCACACTGACATCTCAAATACCTAGCACTTTCAGAAGTTAGATTTAGTGTACTACTGCAAAAATGGCAGGGAGAGGAAAAAGATTTAATTTTCAACTGAAACCATAACACATTCTGGGGAAAAAAAACCAAAACAAAAACAAACAACAACAACAACAACAAATCAAACAAGTAAAAAAACCCCAAAACAAACTCCAAAACCCTACAACCAAACTAACCAAAAAACCCCCAACGCATGTGGCTGAACGCACACACAAATTTCTCAATTTTCATCAGCTTTTGAGACAAGAAAGTACAAGCATATTTGAGACAATGCACATTATATTGGAGACTTACAGAGAAGATTTCAAGCTTCTGAATTGTTTTTCATTGCTGTTGTCAGAAATATTAAGCAGAGCAGAAAATCACAAATGCTCAAAAAATCCACTTTTTTTTTTACCTTAGAGAAATATCCAACTAAATGGCAGCCTTTCTCGTCATTTTTTGTAAGGACATAGAAGAGGAATGGTTCAACATCATAATACAAGGTTTTGTGGTCCAGAAAGAGCTTAGCTAACAAACAAAGATTCTGACAATAAATTTTGCTCACATTGCCATCAACCTAGAAAGCAAGACAGATGCAGTTACTTCCAGTGCCACCAACGTGTTAGGACAAAACAACTTCTCAAATCAATCATATCCTAGAAGGAAACATGAACAAAATGGTCTCACAGAAAAAAAAAGAACACATGAAGGTTCAGAAGAGAAATGCCACAGCTTCTTGTCCAATAAGAATTCTCTAGTCAGTACTAATTAATTTGCATTTGTAAGTATCCTCTGATGATCCACATTTATTAAACAAAGTAACTTCACCTTTTAATATCGTTCAAGTGAGACTTACCTTCTTCATTCCTGGAATGAAAATGAGTGACTGAACAACAAAAATGTACTAGTTAAAACTACATTAAACCATGGTTTGCTAGAAGGCAGTGGTATACAATAATAAATAAAATTAAAAAAAAACCCAAACAAAAAAAACCAACCCCACAATGAAGTGTATCAGGTTGAATCATTAAGGTGTAAGGCCAACGAATGAGTTGCCAGCTACACATCAACCACAACAATGTTTTAGACAAATTAGACAAGAGAACATTTCTATGCTAGACAAACACTACTGAGCAAGAGAAGTAAATTTTCAGGCTAAGTACTACAATTAGTCTAGGTATGTTACAAGTGTAAAGAGTCAAGCTGTGACCCAGACAGCTACAGAAAAATCAGACACAGATACAGATTTCCTAGATTAATTAGCTACTCCCTGAAAGGGAGGGTTCAGTCAAAGGGAATAGTACTTTTGAAAATAATCTTCTTAATAGAAAGGTTTGCTTGTACTGATGATCTTTCATAAAGTCACTAGCTGTACTTCATTGAGAGAGACAGCCAAATGGTATACATACCGTGCCAAAAAAAGCAGCCATATTCTATTCAAATCTGTTTTTAATAAGAATCTAGTTACAAATCTGAGTAAACCCCAACGTTCTGGACACATTTATGGATTTCGAGGTGGCTTTGTCAGTATAGTTATATTATCTGGATTAAAGGAAAAAAAATGGACAGCTATTGCTTCTAAAGGCATCAGAATAAACTTGCACACAGGACTTGAGAACCTATCAAATACATCAAGCTCTCATGCAATTCACTCCATTTGTCCATACACATTTTATTCCTTTTCACACTTATTAGCAAGTGTGCAAATTAAATGCAAACAGTGGAAATCATCACTGGGTAAACCATAAGCCTGAAACCCCAAACTATGCGAGTTATCTTTTTAAGTAAGAACACTTGTTCAGAAATGCAAAAAATTCCTTATATTCCAGGCAAACCCAGCTTGTTCATCAGTTTTAAACGCAAGGGGGAAGGGGAAGGGGGGGGGGAGCAAAACCCAAAACAAACAGAAAAAGAAAAAAAAAGCGGGACTGCAACCTCAAAAGCAAGCATCTGCCGAAAGTTTCTCGCACACAGCATAATAGTAAACTACGTCAAAGTCTTCTCTCAAATCTGCCAGTGTCATGCTGTGGGCAGAAGTATGTAAATCTTAAATGCCAAACTCATTTCTGTTTCTCTCAAAAACAGAAATCATGAAGGAAACCACAAACCCTTAATTCTGTCAAACAGAAAATGGGTGCACAGAATTCCTGAAAGTATCTGTGAGGAAGGACATTAACTGATTAGTAAGTTTCTATAGTTACCAGAGTAACAACTGAAATTAAAAAAACACTATTTCAGAAGTCTTAACAGAAGTACTTATTGAAGCCCCTGAAATAGAGAAAGGGAATAGAAGAAGTGGAGAAAGAGTCAGGACATTGCTTTCAGACATACCTTGCTTTCCATGTGTTGTCTATCCCCCCACCCACCCCCACCCCTTTTCTCCAAGCT